AAGCAGAGAGTAGGAAAAAGCCTGCAGGGGCTGCTAAAGAGTGCCCTTACTCCTTAGCACCCATCGGGGTAACCTACTCCAGTGCTTTACTACCCTCCTAGTAAGAAAATTCTTCCTAATATCGAACCTAAACTTCCCTTGCTGCAACTTGAGACTGTTGCTCCTTCTTTTGCCATCTGCCACCACTGAGAATAGTCTAGCTTCATCCTCTTTTGAGCCCTGCTTCAGGTAGTTGAAGGCCACTATTAAATCCCCCCTCAGTCTTCTCTAAACTAAATAAACCCAGTTGCCTCAGCCTGCCCTCATAACTCATATGCCCCAGCCCCCTCACCATTTTGTTGCCCTCCACTGAACTCTCGCCAATTTGTTCACATCCTTTCTGTAGTGGGAGGCCCAAAACTGAACACTACTCCAGACGTGGCCTCATCAGGGCTGAATAGAGAGGAATAATCACTTCCCTTGACCTACTGGTAATACCCCTACCAATGCAGCCCAGGATGTATTAGCCTTCTTGGCAACGAGGGCACATTGCTGGCTCATATTCAACTTATTGTCCATTGTAAACCCCAGGTCCTTTTCTGCAGAGTTGCTGCCCAGCCAGTTAGCCCCCGGCCCATACTGGTGCATGGGATTGTTCCAGCCTAAGTGCAGGACTTTGCACTTGTCCTTGTTGAACCTCATGAGATTTCTTTTGGCCCAGTCCTTCAATTTGTCTAAGTCACTCCAAATTGTAGCCCTACCCTCTGGCATATCTACTGCTCCCCCCAGCTTGGTGTAATTTGCAAATTTGCTGAGGGTGCACTCTATGCCATCTTTCAAGTCGTTGATGAAAATATTGAACAAAACTGGCCCCAGGATTGATCCCTGGGACACTCCACTTGATACCAGCTGCCAACTAGACACTGAGCCATTGCCACTCTCTGAGCCTGATGCTCCAGCTAGTTTTCTATCCACCTTACTGTCCATTCATCCAGCCCATACTTCCTTAGCTTGCCTGCAAGAATGTTGTGGGGAGATTGTATCAAAAGCCTTGCTAAAGTCAAAGTATACCACATCCACCAGTCCCCCTGCATCCACAGAGCCAGCCATCTCATCATAAAAGGCTATCAGGTTGGTCAGGCATGACTTGCCCCTGGTGAATCCATGCTGACTGTTCTTAATCACCTTCTTCTCCAAGTGTTTAGAAATGGATTCCTTCAGGATCTGCTCCATGATTTTTCCAGAGACTGGGGTGAGACTGACTGGTCTGTAACTCCCTGGATCCTCCTTTTCCCCTTTCTTAAAGACAGTGAACTCCATGACTTAAAAACCTTTCCTCTTGCACTGTTTTTTTAGAGGGCATTATTTGTCAAAACTACACATTTCCAAACAATGATTCACCTATCAATGAGAAGGTACAAAAAATACTGAATCACACTGTGTAACACATACTTTCAGTTCAGTAGAATAGCTTCTTAAAGTAATTTCAATACAATTATGTTTTAAATTTTTTACCTGTAAGACTGAGTAATGAAAGTCAACTAAAGCAGTGCTGTGGAATGTTCCTCTCCCACTCCCTGTTCTTAACCAGTGATCACTGACAAGGAAACTTATGCTTCTGCAGAGGTCCATCACAAGCTTCCTGTACTATCTACATCCCATTTAACTCCTTCAAACGAGGTTTTTGTGGAACATAAGAGATAAGCTGATTTTGTGTTGGCCCTCTCCATAGAAGTGAATATTTTCTGAGGTGAACACTTTGCTTTCGCTTTTTTGGCATACAGAATATTGTAGGATGTCTTTTTCAAAAAAGAATGCTGAATCTCTCTCTTCTTGTCACAAAACAATGAGTGAGACTGGAGACAGTTTAGCATGCATCTGGATTAATGTATATGATTTAAATATCTCTAGAAAAGCTGTTGCATCTTCTTCATCAAGAGGAGTTCAGATAAGCATTTGTCTGGGATCGTTGGAGAACAGCATACCCTGCCTGCACTTGTTCAAGGGAATGGCCTAGATCAGTTTTTCTCAAGCTTTTAAGTAGGAAGTACTCCCTAGCTTCTGAAAAAATTAATAAGTACCCCAACACTCAATTTTCCAGGGGATTTTATATTTACAGACTAATGTGTGCCATATGTTGAAAGAAGGGCTGTGTATATAAGGCTGTGATATGACAGATGTCTGATCTGGTGTGGGTAGGGTTGCTACCTTTTATACCAGGGTTGCACAACCCAAGAATGTACCTGGGCTAGATGTGATGTTGGCCAAAGCTAGGAGGGCTTAACCCAGTGTCATGCAATGCGCGGTGTGCCAAATTTTTTGCCATAGTTTTGAAAGGAGAAAGGGGTGAGAGAGACAGGGAAAGAAGGTGAGAGAGAGACAAGGATATAGGGTGAGAGAGAGAGAGTGAGACAGGGAAGGTGGGAAGGTGAAGAGAGAGAGGGAAAGGGGAGAGAGAAGGGGCAGGTAGCAACCCTAATTGTGGGAATGACCCTTAGGAGGAGGGAAGATTGTGGCTGCTCTTTTTCCAAAAAAGGGTAAGTCTGCAGGAGTACTGTGTTGGCAGTGGGTGAAGGGAGTGTCTGGATCTGTAGTTCAGAGATAAAAAGACACAAGGACAGAGGCAGACACATGCAGTGACATGCTGAGACACACATGCAGGCAGACATGGAGGCACACACACATAAATAGGCATACAATAATTCAGAATGTAAGTTTTATTCTTTTGTATTGAATTTTACAACAGTTTTTGAAACAAAATAACACATGTATCATACATTATAGAACAGTAAAAACAATATATAACTCAAACATTTATATTAATAAAACTCTAAACATAAGTATGTTTGTGACTAGAACTGATACTCTGCCCTCTAGAATTATTCTACAAATCAGGGATTGGACTGGACTTTTTGCTAGTTTTATCAAAATAACATAAAAATTAGTTCTTGTAAATGTTGGATTTAATGAGAAACTTAGGCCTGGTTGGATGACATAAGCATTCCAAATCTTGGTTTTAAACTACTTATTGCTACTATCAGATCATTTTCCAGGCACAAACTTTTTTTATTTTACTTTTTAGCTCAGTCAAGGGTGAGAAACTGGTCTCACACAAATATGTTGAGGCAAATGGGAACAGCTCTGTGACAGCCATGTTCCTCACCTGTGGGTATTCCAGTTTAATTTTCTGCCAAAATGCAGGGATGTCACCCAATCCCATGCTTTGCATCCTCTGCAATGTACTGTCTGTGGAAAGCTCAAAAAGTTTTTCCTTCATGCTTTCTGGAATTCCTGCTTGTTCAATAACACCATCATTAAATGGATTCAAAATCCAGTTTCTGTGGATCTTCATGCTCTTCAACATTAGGGAAATAATGTTCAAAGTTTGACTCCAAATTTACCAAGTGTTCTTTAATATTTTCTTTCACACTTTCATTCAGAGGGATTTCGTTTTCTTCACAGAACTCTGAGAACTGTGGAAATGAACCAAAATTTACACATAAAGCTCAATGTTTCCAGAACCTTAACTTTTTTCTAAAAGCTCTTACTTGTTCATGCAAGGTAATTATATTTGTGTTATACCCCTGAAGCTGAAGGTTCAAGTAATTGATTTTATCAAAAATGTCACAAAGATAAGCTAATTTGCAAATCCATACTTCCTCTTCAAAATGCATTAAGAATTCAGATTTCATCTCTCTGAGAGAGACAGTAACTTCATATCTCAACTTGAACAGGTGATTCAACAACTTTCCACGTGACAACCACTGAACTTCAGTGTGAAGAAGTGCAGTAGTATGTTCAGATCCCATGTCATGGCACAGCGATTGTAAAAGACATGAATTCAGAGCCCGCACTTTTAGGAAGTTTACTGTTTTCATGGCCGTTCCTACCATGCTGTTTAAATCTTCATGAAGTCGCTTTGCAGCCAATGCCTGCCTATGGATAATACAATTGTTCCACTTGATTAAAGGATTTATAGCTTTTAAGCGAATAACAAGACCACTTCATGGACCTAC